TCTCTGGTTGGTAGGATCAAGCCCCTTGTCAAATCACATAGGGAGTCAGGATTGCGAGATGATGTAGTCTTTGATAGGTCACAGTTGCGTGCTAACGATTGGCAGACACTGAGAATATGCACAGTGAATGGAAGGTTGTGGCTCGCCTCGTAAAGCCCATGACGAGGTACGAAGAGTCAGGGCCTCTCAGCCACACTTGGTGTTGTGAATCCTATTGGCGCTTCAACATACATAGTCATGCTTACCCGTGTCGACCATGTTGACTGACTCGACTACCTAGGTCGCACTGGAAAGCATCACCCGACAGGGGCTTCTGTTTCGAAGTGACAGACTTGAGGAGGAAGGTTCCACAAGTCATGTCATTGCTCTTAATAGGCATGAGTCCGACCTATTGCACCCAATAGATCGATTCGAGCACAACGATAGTTCAATTTCCGCAGATCGATCGAGCGAATCGTGGGGCTGGCATGATCAGGGCGACATCTGTACTGGATCATTGCTTACGAATGACCTTATAAGCCAGCGTCTATTCGATGTAACGTAACAGATACACCCGTTCAATGCTACGCACTTTCCTGGTCCGAGATCCATAATCCCGGTGATGTATACATCTCACAGCACCGGCGGGCCTTCAGATATCTCTGCAGCAAATCTGATTCGTAGGCGCTGATGATTCGAAATCAGAGACAAGCTGGACAATGTGGCGGCTAGTCACTTTATACACCGGCTAGATCCTTGTTGTTCAGGTGATGTGTCTCAAAGACCCTCTTATCAGAGTAGGGCCGCACAGATCCCTGACTCACACCGTGAACATGGGTCAATCGGAAGACCAGGAGACGAGGAGTTGCGACTGGTCTCAGGAGCCATTCTCGTCTTGCACTCGGATATGAGCAAAGTCTCATGTCACCAACTCGAAATGATTATATGAGGTCCAGACCGCATGCATTCTCCTCTTCTCCTATATCTCGGAGGAGACCTTTCGGAGAGACGGGCGTCTGGCGGACGTCCGAATCATGTTCCATGTTGCCCTGATGAACCAGTTTCGGGTCAGTGGCCAAAGCTTATAGGACAGGGTAACATTAGCTGATGCCGTCTATCCGCCTCCGCTGCAATATCAGTATGCAAGGTCAGGGCCACCAGCTTAATTAGTGATGCCAGAAACATGGCCACATGATCGAGCAGATGGGCCAGCCGGTGGACGTCCGACTCCTTTACCGGACATTGAGCCGGTTGACCTTGCACGGGAGTCTAAACTAAGTAGTAGACCTGATCCAATGAGACTGAGGAGGAACGAAGTAGTTTTCTGCAAGCAAACCGTGTTCCCGCCTACTATTGGAGCCACCTAATCTCGGGACGTCCGGCATCGGCGCTCTGGGGGGTTGTGCAAATGCCTGTTGTGGTGGACCGTCTTAGGTTCGGCTAGATATTATAAATTCTCCTTCCTTTCGCATCTGTGCCGGATGATGGTGCATCCTTTATGACTCTTTAAGGTTGAAGGGAGTATTGATGGTCAAAAGATCTCCTGTTAAGCCCTTTCGGAGGGCCGATCCCGAGCCCTAGTCCCTCTGCTCGCAGAGTCTTAACTCTATCGCTAGGTGAGTATTGATATGCAATCCTGCGGAGGCTGTCATTGGTTGCATTGGCTGAATATCTGACCCATCCAGTAGATGTCTCGACCCTGCCAGTTACCCAAGACAAGAAGTGGATGCCAGCATTCGCAGTACCAGACACACACGTCGTGCACTCTGCCCTTCGGTTGGAGACAAATGACATTACTCGAATTACAATCCTTTACCCACGTGGAGCATCGCTGATGGGACTGGACTTGGGCTACTGTGTAAAGGGTTGCATCTGAAGGTGTGGTCTGTACACACATCTCTCCACTCAGGGCGACCGAATCCCGCTGCTTGCCGCTGCGCCGACGGTTGCCGCGCTTTTTGAACAAGAAGCCATTACATGAGTGTTTCAATTGCCGGGCCAGATTTTGAGACCTTGTATTCAGGGTCATGGTTATAAATAATGGACACGGCGCCAGTTGCTCAGAAGATTGGAAGTGACAGGAAAGTCATCAGGATGAAGTTGGTTTTTTTTCCCTCCCTCTCTTCGATGAAGCAAAACAAACAAACACGGTTGTTAGTCCCGTGAGTCCTGTGTCTTCCATACCCGTTTAGGAAGGTGCTTTCAGGCTCAGCTCGGGCTCAGCTTCAGCGACGCTCCATCAATCTTCGTTCTCAACCTCCAGCACACCCAGTCTCTCCAACCTTGTCTAACACGGCTCTCCCTTCTCAGTTCTCTATCGCTCTCGCATTGGCAGTGATTACTTGATTTTCAATTCCTGTCTCTATAATGGCTATGGCCACTCGGGTTGCTGTCGCGGTTGGTGACCATCTGCTGAAGCCGATCGACTGCCACTATCCCTGCCATACTCAGTCTGTCTGCTTTTATTGGCGGATTTTGACTGCGCAAAGGAATTGACCTCGAAGTGTCTGGACTCTGGACGATCAGCTGGTAGCTGCCTTTCTCACACCAGCGATTGGTTATAGGAGGTGTCGGCAATGACCGAAGCTTGCCGAATGGTGGCGGTTAATTTATCAGCCTGATGAACCAGCTCAACCTGACCGCCAACAGGTACGGTTCGATAAGCACGAGAAACTACCGACCTACAGTATGCCCTGAGGATTTGAGATTACGGATCTCTCCGACACAATAGACTGCGAAATTAAATGCCTCATATCTCGAATCATCGGGCTCGAATTCCATCATTTTAACGTTAAACTATTGACACATCATCATTTATTTGTTCAAATCGAATGATAGCATGTGAGACATGGAGTCGGATGCAACCACATTATCATGCCAGTGGGGAACGCTTGAATTCCCAACTTGGCTTAGCCGACCAACACTGATGAATTCATCGGGCTTTCTGACTGGATCATCTGACAATAACCCAGAAAAGAGAGAAGGCGAAAGTTCTCGGTCGACTGTTACTCCCATTCCCCCACGCGATAGTTTTGCTGCACTCGTGGACTTGTGTACGAGGGATCTCATAGCCAGGTGTCGTTTTTATTCTTTTTCTCCATCCCGTCCCCGCTTTTTGTCTTCTGCCAATTGACTTTTCTCGGGGTCAGCAAGCGAGATGGGTCCTAGAACGAACGGAAGACGGTGGTAGCGGCAGTGGTTGGTTGAATTGCGCCTTTCGCTCTAGAACTGGCGCTGCAAGCCGATGCGCTCCAACCCAAAAAGGGTCTACGGCCCGTGAGGCCGAGGTACAATTGTCGCTAGCTGATGCTTGACAGCGCGCAAAGCACGGAATGAGTTTGATTCGATGTGCTTCTTTCCTTCCCTCCGACTCCGACGAACGATTCTGAATATCTCAAGATGCGACCGAGGATACGACAGGTATTCGCACCAGATCGCAGATCAGCAATCCCCGGCCCTGGGCTGGAAGAGCTTTCGATGCTAAAATCGGTTATCATAGTGCTTGGTTGGCGCCAGTCCTCTTGTCACGGGCTCATTCCAGGACAAGCCTTGAACAGACAACACAAGCTCCACCGCACTTAGGAACGCTGTACTCGTACTACTGGGACCCACTCAATTTGTGGCCTTAACTCGGGTGCCTGTCGATTACGGCCAAATTGTGTCTCTCCTTCATTCCGAATTGTCCACTCGGGACCAGATATGATGTGATAAGAGCAATGCATAGTATGATTCTTCGACATCCAAACGGCTCACAGGGGCTTTAGTGGGCCATGAAGAAGTTCCACAATGGTCCTGATCGCTCGAATCAGTGCCGAGGATTCCCCACGGGATACACTACCAGGGAATGAACCTGGGCGCCCTGGCACAAACAACGATGGACCTGCATCGGATATACTTTGTTGGCTGGAAACCTAGTCAAGGATAGGATGACGCTAGCTCTATAGCCTTGCACCTGCCATCGAGAACATCCGCTGGTAGCCGCTTTGGCAGGTGCTCAATGTTGCATTGCAGCGAAGCCTGTTTGAAGTCGGAGGAATTGTCGCTGTGAAGGCACCAAATCTACCTTCGTTGTATGGCTGCTATGCCTATCAGGTTACCCTGGATGATCCATTGACCCCGCGATCCACGGCAGTGGCCTTGGCTTTTGCTGGCATCCACCATCACAAAAAGTTCTTGAGCGACAGTCAAGCATGTAATAGCGATCGCGAATCTTAGAAATGGCCAACAAAGGGATAAGATGATTCAAGGCCTGCACTAGCGAGATGAGGAAAAACATGCATGCATGGTCGTGGTTATCCAAGGCGTTCAACCCCGAAAGATCATGGATACCTTACTCACCTTCTTATCCTGGAACTCCTTCCGATACCGATTTAGGGTACATGATAAGGACTGCCGCCGAACAAATCAGTGGACTTAATAGGGCCTGTCTTAATTTCCCACTGGCGCCAGCAAGCCCAAACCAGCCCCCTCTCGCCCTCTCTAATCACTCCCCCCCCCCTTTCAATGAAAGCGGAATTTACTTTGAATCCGGTTTACGTCGGAAGTGCACGGTAAGAAAGCACGAAGTATCATAGCGCTTGCCAATCAACCCCTCTTCCTCGGACTGGTGAATAATATTCCTTGCGATCCATCGGCTTGCTTTTTTTTTCTGTTTTCTAGAAGACCTGCAGGGTCATGGATTGGCCGGTCGCACCTACTTCCGCCACTTAGCGTTTACCCCAGGTCAAGACCGGACTGGAGCGGGTCCCATAACACCCAGAACACCCAGAACCAATCTAACAATTTATCTGTCGTCAATTCGCAGCAAGCGAGAACAATCGCATTCCCAGTCTTGGTGTGTCGACTCTTAAAAAGGCCGATCTTTCTCCTCCCCTCTCTCCACCAGCCCTGCTACTATTAATGGCCCGCGCGTAATTCCCTCATCCCTCCCTCAATTGTCTTTCCAACGCAACCAATTTCCCTATTCATCAATTGACACCAAACTGATCAAATTGACCAACCACGGCGCCCCATCCAAGGCCATGACTAGAACCACCGACGAGATCAAGTATGAGGCTTCCTCATGGGAGCACAAAGGCGTCACCGTGGCAGACGATGGCCGGAGATTGGCGTCAAATTCCGATGCTGCCCGTCCCAAAGGACGCATACGACGATCGATGACGGCTTGTCATACTTGTCGCAAGCTTAAAACCAGATGCGATTTAGATCCGCGCGGCCATGCATGCCGCCGCTGTCTATCCTTAAGGTCAGAGGCAGATCCACCACCTGCTGGACCATTCCAGTGTTCTTCTATTCCTGTAATTAGTGTGAATTGAAGAGCCTCCGACGTCTAACAGTTGTCAATTCCTACAGGATCGACTGCAAGTTACCGGAAACGACCGATCGTTTTCAAGATAATGCCTCAATGTGGTCGGATGCGACGTCCGCGATTCCGTCGATTGAGGAGCGCTTGACCTCGCTCGAAAGAAGCATGAGAGAGATGACGAGTATGATGCGCCAAATGCTGGACCAATCGCCAGTAACCCCCACGGGCATTCCCTCGTGTTGGACCAGAGCTACCAATGCCGATGATGGCACGTCGTCGGAAGGCAGCCCATCATCCCCATTTTTGCCCAAGCCTGTTCGGCTCATCCAAGACCTACAATCGGAATTCTTTGGTGAGACCGAAAACTCGGCATACTTGAGCGAGGGCATCGCAAAGGGTGGCTTAGAATCTAAACTATCACTCAAACTGTTGCAAATGTATGAACCATCTGTCCTTTTCCCTCGGTGCTTAGACAAATTACTGATGCTCGAAATAAAGATTCGTGGACAATTTCGGCCCTTATGTCTCCATATATAATCTCTCCGATATACAGAACGAGGCGCGGAATCCTGATTCCTTGCTATATAATACTGCTTGTCTACTGGCATCCCGCTATGTTCCTGGCGTCCCCACATCCGTGGTACATACGATATACCTTCAAGTGCGACATGCCGTGGTAAATCTTCTGTGGGATAAGCCACCGCTTCGCTACGAGTCTCTCCAAGCTCTTGCGCTGCTTTGCCTTTGGCCTGCGACCGTACAAAAGGAGCCTCCAATGGACAGCTGGCTGTTGAGTGGGGTTTCGATCAACCATGCCATCATCTCCTTTGATTGTCTCAACTATGGGCCCACGGAGACTATGATTGATAACGAGACAGCCGCACAGCTCCGGCTTTGGAATACTTACTGCTTGACGCAGCTTCAGTGCGGTCCATCCGTTCTACTACATGGCTCTTCCCGCTAATTATGCATAGTTTTGCGGTCGGCAACGCTCGTCCTTTCCATATCCAGCCACGCTATCTTGATCATTGTCCACGGATTTTGGAGCACCCAGGTGCAACTCTGGACGACGCAAAGGTAGTGGCCGAGATCCAGCTATACCTCATTACACTACGCCTTCAGAGCAATGGCGGCCGAATGCGAGTCGCCGATACCAAATTCGAGGAAATGGAGCGGTGGAGGGCCGAGTGGGCCCATCTCTTCGGTAGGTCCTGCATGTCTTGCGAAAATTGGTCAGCTACGAAGGAACTAACGAGGTAACGAACTCAGCTGGTGAACAGTTCACCCTCGAGCTAAGCCTCTGGTTTTGCCAGATCCTTCTTTACCGCACCTCCATGCGCTTTAGCCCGGGCTCCGATACTCTCGCCTCAGAGGTCCTGCAAACCTCCCGCCTGATGTTGTCCAAGTTTCTTCAGATCCGATATTCTTCCGCTCTAAGCCTCGTCGACCAGACGTATTTCATGGTTGGCTATGCCGCTCTCAACCTCTGTGATTTCAACCTCATGGACCCACTCATCGAGCAGGTACAGATGTTCCTGCTCCATCTGTCCCCCAACGAGGATCACATCGCCTATCGCTTCTCCTGCATGATTGTCGAGTTCAAGCGGCGATGCACCGAGGGCAGCGATCCGGCCACCACCGCCGCCGCGGCCGCGGTAGCAGCGGCAACTGCCGCCAAAGCCTCCTCTCCGCTGTCATCCTTCGGGGAAACGCGGAAGATGAGTATGGAGCAGACGGCCTCATTCCTGCCCCCAATGGTCGATAATGTGATTGATGGCTACGGATTCGAGCAATTGATGCCGGAAGTCCTGCCACAATCATTTCCCGAGGGGATGCTCAATGAGTTGGCAGTCGCCGGGATACCAGGGTATCGGTCGGCAACGCTCTGAAACTCCCGCCCAGCCCAACCCAGCCAGTAGTCTAGTCCGCTGGGAGGGGAGGGGGAGGAGAAAGAGCGATACGATGGACTAGACTTTGTCCCCTGGCCCCCTCGAACTGATAATGGCAACTCATGACGTACGATGAACAGAAACAATCCTTTTAGGTAAAAAAAGAGAATAACATCTCCGAGAAATAATATGTACATATGTACAGTTACACTACTGTATACATAGAAATCATTTCCTGCTTTGCTCGAGAATTTACTCCGTAAATACGGTACCAACCCAGTCCGAGTGGAGGGGGTCCTGGAGTGGTGTTCAATTGGGCCTCGGAGATACTAACTAGACTAGTCAGTCGGCTGGAGTTCAAGGTTGTTGCATTGTCACATGCAAACATGCACTCACTCACTTCCGCGGAAAGAGAGGATGGCAAAAGATAAGGTAGCCGGTTCAATTTAATCTCGGTCTCCTGTAGCTCAGATAAGAAACCAGGAACATGACGCCATATCGTGTGTTCGTTATTCCCCCTCTTCCCCTCCCCCTGAATTATGAACAGGTTATATTGTACATGTACCTGATTGTTGGTTTTTATCGGTGGTGTGGCCTTGGAAAGAGAAGAGGAGGAGGTGAAGCCTGGTGGTGGAGGTTGGGCCTGAACCACGAAAGAAGTCTGGTTTGTCTGTGCCTGCCTGCCTGCCTGCCTGCCTGCCTGGACTTTCTTTTTCCTTGTACTGCAGCAGTATACGGAATACCCTGCCAAACCAATTATAGTAAATTTTGTACACATACTACTCAGAGCGGAGTTAACCGTGACGTAGCTGGCAGCAGAGCCCGTCCTTGTCCTTGGCTTGCGGTCCGTTCCGTGATATCCGTTGCTGTCAGTGCCACCCATCCACCTACACCCCTAGTCTACGCTCGGTGACCTACGTAGAGTACTGTTACTGTTACTGTAAGTTGTACATACGGGTCCTCTCGATGTGAATATGGACTGATGACAGCAGGTATAAGAAGCAGGGTTTCTGGGTGCGTACGTGGCTTCATTAGCCTTGTTTTTTTCTTTGTAGAGTTTGTGCTTCTATTCGACTTTGAGCAGCAGTCTAGCTTAGTGTCAACTTTCCTCCCCTCTCGCCCCTGGGGAACTAATTTTATTGTGTCTTCTAGGGAACCCAAGAACCTTGGATTGGGTCATGTTTTCCGCCGTCTTCAACCCTTCAACCTCAACCTCTTAGTAAGCGGCAACCGAGAAAAAAAATACAAGGAACATCTAGACATGCGAAGAGCAACCCTTCGTAAGAACTAGGTACAGATCGAGCTCCCGCTCAGTTTTCCCGTTGGGAACAACACCCTCGGTAACCCACTTGCCATCGGCACGGGGACCGACCCATCCGCGTCGACGGTCAGGGTGGTGCAGGTGAACACCTCGGTGACCTTGGTGCCGGCTGTGAATCCCGTCCCCGTCAACGAGAGGGTGTACGTTCTGCCCCCGCTGCCTAGGTTGGAGAGCACCGTGATGATCTGGGTGCCATCGAACCCTTTTCGCATGGTCAACGTGGTGGTGTCGCTGTAGATTGGGTAGTTCTGCAGGCGGCATTGAGAAACACAGTTAATTAAGGCAAGAAACATGGGTAATTGTCAGATTTTGAGGGCTGAGACGCACCTTGTAAGTTAAGTACTTCGCATCTTGGCTGATCGCGTGGCTGCGAATCTTATTGGCCGTCGCTATCGAGGTGTAGAGGGGGCTGGTGGTGTTGTAGCCGGACAGCCAGGTGGCTTCGCGGTTGAGCGGGTCGTTGCCGCCGCTGTAGTGCTGCTCCTGACCCGCGTAGATGATGGGGATCCCGTCTGCGAGGATGGAGAATGTGGCCACATTTTTGGCTAAGGATATGTCCTTTGTGTAGCTTTTTGAAGAGATGGTGGGGTCAGCTGGGCTGTAGGGATGGCTTAGGGAGCTTGCTTAGAGAAAATGATTGATTCGACTTACGAGGCAAAGCGTGGGTTATCGTGGTTTTCAATAAATGTTCCCAGCAAGGTGGAGTCTGGACAATTGTCTTTGACGGTGTTGATCATGTTATATAAATCGCTGACGCTACCGCCTGTTGACTTGAATGCTCTAAGGAGAGGATAATACCTTTTGTGAATTAGCATTTTTAGCTCCCGTTTCGAAATTATAATGACCAAGGCTCATACATGGGATAATTCAGGACACCGTCGAGATAATTCTGATACGGACAGGTGTATGATGCATCTCCGTCGAGGACCTCGCCAATACAATATACACCAGCGGCTTTGTTATAGCCCGGCCAGAAATCTTTCTGGACGTGCTTGACTGTGTCAATGCGAAGGCCATCGACTGGGATTATAAGTTATCCACGTTTCATGCCGCAACGGATCTGAGATCAACCTACTGGAGTAGTTGGAGACAAGCGACTTGACCCAGTCATACCACATCGTCTGTACGTCACTGCGGGTTGTGTCCAGATCAGGGAGCGAGACCTTGTTATCGCCCAGCCAGCAGTTCTGGACGTTGGTTTGGTTGTCGTAGTTGGTGATGGCACAGTAGGGATGGAAGTATTCTTTCTTGTTGAAGGGTTTGAATACACTATAGTCAAGGGAGTCACCTGCTCCGTCGTAACCCTAAATCAATCTCGTCAGCATTTCCGAGTCTGATAGCCTGCTCCCGCTAGCATAAGGGTCAACAAACCATGTGGTTGGCAACGACATCAACCATGAGGTACATGCCACGCGCGTGAAGAGCCGAGGCCAAAGCCTTGAGATCATCTGCAGTTCCATAATGGGAATTGAGGGAGTATCTTTCAGAATGGGTAAACGCCTTCTCACACCAACGAGGGGCGAGAAGCTCACGCGTCTTGTTGCCAGTATCCATGGTAAGCCTGGCCGTAAGGGGTGTCTTGAGGGACTTGCGCCGTTACTGGAGTGATCCAGATGGCTGAAAATCCCATGCCTTGAATATAGTCGAGCTGATTGATGCCATCATTAAAGTAAACGACATGTCAAGCCCGCCAGAGGAGAGGTAAGGTATTGAGCAAGTTTACCTGGTTGATGATGCCGCGCCATGTTCCACCGCAGTATCTCTATGCACACATGTCAGCCTCACATGGCAAACTACGACTCGGGAACCTGCCAAACATACCCCGATGCTTGTATCACAAGTAGCAGTGGTGGAATTGTCCGTACGAGCAAAACGGTCGGTAAGCAAGAAGTAGATGGATCGGGAGCGCCAATCGGCCGGAGTCGCAGCGAATGCGGTCGCCGCGACCGTGAGCAGTAATAAGAGATAGTTCATGACAGTATTGTGTATAATAGCTGGCTCCATGGTGTTTCATTAACTGAGCTGGACTAGCGAGCTTTATATTTTACCGAAATGTGCACTGCCCAGTCAAGTCAACCTGAGTCTGTTTCACGATGGCCCGTTCCAACACTGTAATTTGTGCCGGCCACGAAAGTGGATACGCAGTAGCTGACCTTTCTCTGGACCCTTCATTTCCTCCTGCAGGATTCTCATGGAAAGGTTAGAGGTTAGAGATTAGAGTAGTGCCCGAGGACCTTTGAATGTTGGGGTCCAAATGCCTTGGTCTTGTTGGGGATGGATGGATGATGGTTTGGTCAGGGGGTTGAGGGAATTCCTCCTGGGTAGCGGCAGGTGACTTGTCCTTGTGCTTCCTTCCTCTTCTACCCTTCACCCAGACTCGCATTGGACAGATGAAGTGTTGATATGTTTCCCTTTGGGTCGTTCCGACTCGATTTATCAATGGTCGACAATGTTATGGTTGGCAATTTTGTCCTCAGTCTCGGCAAAGAATGTCGGCGGATGGTCCGCCCGACCGCAGATCGCTTCTCATAAATAAAATTTATTCAACAGAACGCTGCTATACTCGCATCATAGACACATAAGGAGTCATCATTCATCGCCACTACCACTCCAAAACCCAGTCCTCAGCCCATGCACCGCTTCTCGTTACATCCTGCAGATCGCCAACATGCAAAATATGCGACGTCGAGTTATATTGAACTTTCGACAGTTGTTTCCCGTTGAGCTTTACCGATGAGGGTCTCTGTTTCACTCCCAGCACCGTAACATTCGCAAGTGGATTCTTTTCCGCCCAATCTCCCTTCGCCGAAACGTGCAGGCTCGAGCGCGATGCCGAAAAATCAACCTTCAGCGTCGCGTTGGGATCGACGCTCACCCCGTCATCAAGGTAGAGTTGTCCCGATGCAGCACCGTCACTATCAAGCGCAGCTAGCAAGGACCAAGGAGACTTCCGAGCCTCACGAGTAGTCAATGCCGGCTCCTGAAGAGGAAGGATATTGCCACCGCGTACGTAGACTGGAATGTGGCCCAGTGGGGCCGAGATTGTCGTGTTCACGCCCGCCTCTGCATCGACAACCGTCTGTGTATACCAGTCATACCACACTTCTCCATGAGCCAATCCGGGAAAGACACCATTCACGCTATCGGCTTGCGGCTCGAGCACGGGTATGGCCATGATCGCAGGGCCAACGAGGAATTGAGTATCCACGCCAGCCAAAGTAGGATCATTGGAGAATTCCCAGGCGAGCGCACGCATGACCGTAGATCCAGTGCTGTGGGCGAGATGGAATAGGGTATAATAATAAGGCAATAAAGCATAACGAACTTGCATGGCGGTTTTGGTTGCTTCAATGACCGAGGCCCATCGATATGGTTCTTGCGGGATGGCCGAGAGTACATTGTGGTTTCGGTAGAACGGGAAGAAGGCCGATAACTGCATCCAGCGATTGCAAAGCTCTTCGTCCGTATTTCCGTTGAATCCACAAGTATCAACTCCGAACATCGGGATGCCAAAGAGAGAGAAGGAAAGCGCCTGAGCGATTGAGAAATACATGGATCCCCACTTCGAGATGTTGTCTCCGCCCCAGTGTCCAGCCCACTTGCCTGAACCAGCAAAAGTCGAGCGCCCAATAATGAAGGGACGGCGCTTGCCGGACCAGACCTTGAGCAGACCTTGGTAGGTAGCATTCAGGCCTTGGTGACCAAATAGACTGTGGACATCATATTCCTGTACTCCATCAGAGTGGGTAGAATTCGGTGAGATGGCATGGACACTCAAGTCGTGGCCAGTTTGCACATGATTAATCACGTATGGCGGATAATTCACATCACGCACACCAGGTGTAGGTGTCGTACGCAGGTAGGATATAGAAGTGGACGATGAGGACCCGACTGAGGCTGCCTGGCTGGCTGCCCCCGCTGAAGCAGCGGCTGCTTCAGTAGCATTGGTGATGTTGAAGTACTCCGGGTAGTCGTAGACGATGTTTCCAGGCTCACCAGGAAGCAGGAACGGCGGATGCACCGGGTTCAGAGTGAGGTTACCAGTCCCGCAGCTGCCCACGCAGAATGAGGAGACCTCAGCCATATCATACCATACCCCATCATAAGCCAAATTACCGGCCCACAGAACCAGCTCATTGGTCCAGAAGTCTGTTGCTCTCGGATGATGCCAGTCGGGATACACAGTGTACCCAGGCCAAACAGCGCCGATGTATAGGCTACCATCGGGATTCTTGATGAAAACATCATCTGCAGCGCCACGAGTATATGTGTCGTAACTGAATTTAAAGTTAGAGAGAATGAAGTAGTCAACAGATGGAGTAGGCGACCTACGCATCAGACGCATTCTCGGGATTGGGAATGTACAGCGCGGCATCGACAATTGGCACGTAGTAGCGCCCACTGTCATGAAGTTGACTGAGAAACTTTGCACCCTCGCTGTAAGAAAAGCGATGTTGATCATTGTCGAAGTCACGATATCCGTGCATGTAATCGATATCGGTCCTAGATACACACATCAGCATTCTGCCCGTCAAACAAAGGACGGTACACGACGAACCAGATATACTCTAGGGGAATTTCGAACTTCTCGAAGTTAGCAACAACTTCTGCAAGTTCAGACCAGTTATTGTAGCCCCAGCGACATTGATGGAAGCCGAGGGTGCTATACTGCTGCATGGCTGGCAAGCCCACGGTGCTAACTTGATACTGCTTGGTCACATCGGCCTGGGTAGGGCCCGAATAAAAGGTCAGGTCAATGCCTCCACCAAGAGTTCGCCAGGTCAGCCTCTGAGATCTTAACAGCACTTCTTGCCCGTGGGCGTTTCTCAAAAACACGCCATGCGAATAGGAAGTGTATTGTTCAGAGGCATTGAATGCACTTCTCTTCGCATGCTTGTGAGAGCCGTCAGCCTTAAAATATCTCGTATCAAGGTAGAACGGATGTTGCCCGTATAGGTTGCTATAAGACTACAAGTCAGTAGAACTCGGGGTATGTTTTCTGAGCTGGAGGACTCACCTATCAATAGGATCTCCGATATCCGCCGCATACATGGTGACATTCGCATCCTTGAGCAGACGGAGCTGGTTGAAATGTTCTCCGAGACCGTACAAGTTGTATTCTTCTGGCAGGAATGTCGAGAACTCTATGAATTGGTTCTCATAGACCAAGACAGTACCTCCAGTATCAAACAAGACATCACCGGTAGCCTTGCGAACGACCTTGAAGTGGAACGACGGCTCGTTGGACCAGGAGAATGTGAGATCACTGCTGGAATTTGTTGCACCACCACCTGACTCGGGCCTAGGTACGAACTCCTCTGATAGGATAAACCACGAGGAGTTAGAGGCGTCGACATACGTGGGAAGGATCTGTATATTCAGTCGATCTGATGCCTGGTAGTCCACCGTCAAGGTCAAGGTATCAATATCTGTCCCATAAACATTGCATGCCTTCCCGGCCAGGTCCAAGCGTGCCGTGAAGCCATGGGAGCTCTGTTGCACGTTTGAGGCCTTGTAACCGGGACACACTGACTGTGCATCGACTGCCTGAGGATCATCAATGTTGGCAATCAATTGAGCCCCCACATCCGCTTCAGCCGGGATAGTGAATTGCGCGTACGAGGCGGATGCGGATGTGGTGAATAAGGTCGACTGGCTCAGCCCAGAGGCCACGGGCATGAGCCAAGCACCAACCAGCGTTACCATCAGATTAATCATGGCGAGCAGCAGGTAGAAACCAGCACCGTCGTCGTGTTATGGTTGGCTAGCATGAGAACAGCTAGAGACCCTCGGGTTTGTTCCTCCACGGAACCGGGCTCATATGTATTTAAGTCCTTGTAGTAGGAGCATAATGCAGTCGGTCATTGGAATTCTAGACGGAGGTGCTGTGCAACCATGCGTTGTCCCCCGCAGACAAGCCATTATTGCTCCGTCGAATTCCCGTGGTGCAAGGGCGGATCGGGCCCGCATTCAGAGTCAACTGGAGGCTTTCCGGCAGGTTAGATTGATGCGGGGAAGACAAGCCAAGAGTAGAATTGGCTTTAGATGATCGAAGAATGATGGCAGGACCGGAAAAGGGAGAAAGGATCGAAGACAACCTTGAAGCCAAGATCAACCATTGGTGTTAAGGAATTGGTAACTACTTGGCAAATCCCTCGGTTAGAGACCGGGAGGGCCGTAAGTTGGTTGCCAGGTGGATGCCTGAGACTTCTGGCCTGATAACTATCACCTGATTCTCGCTCTAATTGGTCACTTCCCCGATAATTGTCCGACGACGTGGAGACTCGCAGCAAGCGAAGTACCTAAAGTACCCAAACAAGCCATCGATCGTTTCCTTTTCACTGCATTCCTTCACCTTCACGAATCCCTAAGTCTCACTAGAGACCGAATTACACTCGCGCGAGACCACATCAGGCATCACTAATCCCGACTGAGATCCGGTCCGTCCGGCCAATATCTTCAGCACGGCTCCCACTTCCCAAACAGCAACCGGTGAAGAGGCCGATCTTCACACCAGCATCGCCGCATACACAACGAAAATACCGGGTCCAGCCTCGGCACTTCCCAGGCAGGATCCTGGGGGCAAATGAGGGTCTGGCGTAGAGGAAAAAGAACCTTCAAGCGGCCTGCAATGGGCATACACACTCTCAGCGTCTGGCTCGGCTTCCCGAAGCGAAGTGCACCTTACAGTCGACAGCCAATACATGTGCGAAAGCACCCGAACTGTGGAGAAACCGGCCAGCAATAGGACTGAATCTCAATCACATGAAAAGATCTTACGGTATACCAGTGCTCTTATTACATGCAGGGGCCGGATAGTCAGAAATAAAAATGACGCACCCAGAGTCTTGGTCTGTCTTCAACCGTAATGCGCACATTTCCTGGAACCTTCTCTGGCCGAGTTTTCTAACAGGTGGATCGCCTGTCATACCATTCATCAGCAGACAATACATTGTCTCTCGTTTTATGGGGTGGTCTAGTCTGGGTGCCTACACTCAAACTCACTCTGTAGTAGTCGGTAGAGAAATCCTGAATCGGTTTCGCACGGTGAAGGGGCCGCCTCTCGGTACCTTCGAGGCCTGAGGGGCGAATCTGGGCCTAGGAAACGAAACGAGATTAAATCGACTAACAAGCAGGAACCCAACAGGGTCTGGTACCGCGGGGTCCGGGCCACCTGGAGGACGGGCCAACCTTGTGCCTCGCGCCATGTTTCCCTTCCCCGCTTGCGCGCCCCCGGATTTTCCGTTCTTCGCTGCTTCCCTCCCTCCTCCAAAAACCGCATGATCTTTATGTATCTCTGGATCCGCGTGGCCTTCGAGATTGAACATCATCTCTCCTGGATCTATCACTCAATCAACGTGAAATGATGCCCATGGACCATCATCGTTACTGCTGATCTTCTACCGCGATCCGGCTATAGTCCCCGCAAACCAATGGACTCGCATCCTTCCCCCGCTAAGCCTAAATCCTCGAAACAAGCCTGTGATAACTGCCGCCGTCGAAAGATCAAATGCTCTAGGGAGCTTCCTTGCGACAAGTGCCAGCGTCTCCTGCTCTCCTGCTCCTACAGCGACGTTCTACGGCGCAAGGGTCCCAAATTTCGCACCATCTATCCACTTGCGCCGATTCACCCATTGGTATCCCGCCAACAACGGGATTCTTTTCACCAGCACCCACAGCAGTACCCTTCAGAGGAGCAATGGACAGCTGATACCGTGGCCTATCCATTGGTAAGGTCGCCAACGTCGCCACCATTCACATTAACGGACTCTCAATACCTGTCTAATGATGTTTTGGAACCGCTTGCCCAGCTTCCTCCCCCGGAGCTAGTCTCCTCCCCAGACTCAACGAACTCGCTCTCGGACTCTACAATCGGCATTATTCGTCCCTATGCAAGGCGCCTTTCAGCCCCCGTACTCTTAGCTCACGTCAATGTGTACCTCAAATACCTGTTTCCCATCATGCCAGTAGTGCGAAGGCAGGAGCTCCAGCGAGACTGCCATCGACCCGAGCTACTTTCCTCGCAAAGATATGCATTTCTGGCATCTCTATGCGCAGCCACGCATATTCAGCTCAAGTTGGACGGAACGACTTCTGTGCCCGACCCCTCGCATTTTCCGACTGGAGCCGAAGGCCACTCGTGCATGTCTGGAGAGGAGTTGCTGGCTGAGGCGGTCCGAGCAAGGAAAGACTGCGACGTGGTGGAAGAACTCAATATGGACAGTCTCCTGACATCATTCTTCCTCTTTGCTTCCTACGGCAATCTAGACAAACAAGACCATGCTTGGTTCTACCTTTGTCAGGCTACCTCCATGGTCTTCACGCTAGGTCTGAACCGCGAATCAACTTACGCTGAGTTGAGTGTCGAAGAAGCCGAAGAGAGGCGGAGAGTCTTCTGGCTGCTATTTGTGACAGAAAGGTAAGCGAGTATGATGTCGCAGCATGATGAGAATGAAGGGGTCTGATTATGACTAGGGGCTATGCACTTCAACAGGCCAAACCGGTAATGCTACGCAACTCCATTCACAAACCACAAGTCCTCTGCTCCGAAGACCCGATCCTCGCCTACGGATTCATCAACCTCATCAGCATCTTCGAAAAACTGTCCGTCAATCTCTTCGACTGGATATCCGCCGGCGGCGTGGACAGCTCTTCCGAGATCCCACCCACCTCCGCCATCCAGTCCAGTCTCTGCAAAACGGTATCTCTTGAGGGAGTGTCAGAGATCCAGAAGGTTGATATACTCATCACCCAGCAGTGGCTGCAAGCCATGATGTGGAAGCTCTCCATGACCCGCCCCACCCAGCCCGGGTCTCGCGATGATGCAGTCCTCCCATTTCACCTGCCAGTCATGGTCGGAAAGGCCGTGATGAACGTCATCAGCGCAGCATCTCAAGACGCCGTTGATGCCCACGGCATCGGCATGGTGAGTCAAAAGCCCCCGAGACAGAATCCATCCCCCCCTTTCCACGCCTTTAAAACCCACTCACGCCATTTCTATTTATCAGGAACAAAAACTCTTCGACCTAGGCACCGCCGTTGCCGACGTCACACGATCCCTAGGCTCCGGCTCCGGCTCCGGCTCTTCGAAAGCCGCTCACCGGCTCACCGAATCCGCCGTCGACCCTCGCGAACTCCTCTGGGGAATCCTCACCACCCTCTCCCGCATCCGCGGTTCCCAGTCCCACCTCTTCCCCACGTTGCTAGAGCGCTGCAAAGGCGCCCTCGACTTCACCTCCCCCCTCTCCATGGGCGAGTTTCTCGCCCTGCCTGCACCACCACCGCCTCCACCACCACCGCCATCTATCAACAGCAACAACAACAATAACCCCTCCGAATCGTGGAACGCGGAGACCAGCGCACTCGATATAGTCGCCTCGTTGCCGGAAAACCTCAATCTTCAAGATGGTCCCGATGATGGAGACACGCTGTCGCAGATTCTGTCCCTGGCATCACAGATCGAATTTCGGGCTGGAAATGGACGGGCCGGTGATTGTGCGTCATAAGTGAAACTCGCATAGTTGTGGGGATTTCTCCCCGCAATGACTGGGGTGTGTGGCATGGTGAATTTGGTTGGGTTTTTGTGCTTGGACTTGACTGATACCACACCTCAGCTTATACATATACATACATACAAAGGCCTCGAGTAATGAACATAATGGTTTGTAGGAGATACTGATCTTGTGAAATATCCTGTTATGCCAATAGACTTCAATCTCGTCGTTAGGAACCGACTCACTGCTCAAGGCGATGCGAAATGAACAAGACAGACCTAACTTTCCTATAATTGATGATAAAATACATGATCAACAATCTCGGTTCTAAGCAGAAAAAGGGCAGAATTACGTAGACATCTAATATGATAGGAAGAATTTTCAGGGCCTCTAAAGAGAACGAACACAAAGAATGATAATCAGTGTAACCAAAACCCGTCCGTGGCAGAGAAAGTTCAGTCGTGTTGCTATACATAAACTATGACGGCTAAGCGTCAATAAACGAAAACCTGTACAAATAATGGGTATGTGCCAAAACCAGCTCTAGCCTTGGATCGCACGTGATCACATGGAACAAAGGCAAGGGGAAATAAAACGTTCATGATCTATGCGCCGTTATAATTATAAGTGTGCCGCACTGACGTGCGGATGGATCCACGTATTGTCTCGGTGAAGCACGGGACGTGATCCGTCGTCCAAAAAAAGCAGCAGGCCGGTGCTGGGTATATGACGACAATTTGAATGTGCTGAAAAAGAGTAATCAATGGCGTAAGGTAGAGCATTCGCATCTACTCTTTTCGCCAGATTAATTCCAGAACCTTATCACCGAGCTCAGGGTCCCGACGAATGTACCATTGGCGGACCTGGTTGCCATCGATAATCGCATCTTCGTGGATATAGCTGATCTTGCCTTCATCCTTTGGTCGGAGTGGGCCAAGTTCATGCAAGAAGGACTCAAAGACTGCACCATTGTCGCCGGCCCATGTGAGCTCCATCGACTTGTCGCCCGTGGGGACGTCATTGCTGTACTTGACGATAGAGAAGCCGTTGGTGAGGATCCAGCCGTCGCCGAAGTGCCATTTTCGCAAAAGACACGAGTCGCCACAGACCTCACTGACAACACCCAGCTTGGCCATGTCGGCATTGAACCATGACTTCCAGTGATGAACGGAGAGCGGCGGGGGTCGAGCAGCCTCAAAGAAACCAGATACATCACCCCTCATATCGATCTGTCGCAGGCGGTGATCAATAGTCAAATGGGCATCCGAATACTGGTAGATGCAGAGGGATATCTTGCGATCTCCCGTGGATTCCATTTTTTGACAATCTTCGTAAACCTCTTTACGGCCTATTTGCTCGATCAGGG